AATGAGAAAAGGGTTTTATGAGTGCATAATTAACTACAAAAAGAAGGGATATAACTTTAATTTTGGAGTCTACATAGAGGTAGGGCGTTAGAGTTAGGTTGGCTAGACAATGACCTAAGTCGAGACACTTCCAGTAGATTGAGCACTTTAGGATCATGAGCGACAGTCAGAGGGTCTAGACCCTGGTGCTCCCAGACTAAGAAAGACTCGAGGAGTCAAATAGAATAGTCATGGGCCAGAATTCTATGTTAAGACACCTAGCCACCCTTGGAGCTCAATAAGCCTCATTAGGTCCCAAATATGACCAAGGCGAAGTTTAAATTATGAATTAGGTGTTTATGTGATCATAGGTATATCTTCCCTAACATAGCAAGCATGAGAGAATTCAGTTAAAATTATACATTGACCTAGGTTAAAACATTTCCAACAGACCCTACATCCCATGATCGTAAGTAGTGATTAGAGGTCTAGATCTGAGTGCACCTAGAGACTTAGATTAGGCTTGAGGGGTTAACCCCGAGAGTTCTGGAAATGAGAGATGAGATATAAACCACCTAGAAGCCTCTAAGAACCTAGTAGTCCTCCACAATAACCAAGGATGACCAAAGTAGTTCTTCAGGTTGACAGTAGTGTGACGATGTCTTCAGACGTTCCACTACCTTTTGACTCGATGGTACTTGAACAACACGTTGTCGTTTTGGAGACCCCTAGCAATTTCCACTAGATACAACACCTGGTTGCCTCATCCCACTACAATATTCGACTTATGCCTGACTTGACGGTACTTGAACTCCTACCACATACAACACTAGATACAACACCAAAGCTTCAATTTATGCCTGACTCGGCTGGCGTACTGGAGAAGATAGGAAGTGGAGACTTTGGTGACATTGTCAAAATAATATTAGGCTTGTTAAGCTTTCTAAGTTGTTTTTTTCGTGGAGATTTACTTAGCTCTTATCTAGGTATTTAGCTCCTCAAGGTTAATCCAATCTATGGATGCACTCAAGTCTAGACCTTTAATCACGACTCACGATTCTAAGGGGCTTAGTCTACTAGAAACGTACTGGCCTAGGTCAATGTGTAAAATACTCTACCTCTAGAGCCATAATAATTTTGTTAGGGAGATATTTCTATCAATCACCTAAAGCACAAAAAAACATAATGTAAACATTCATACAAAACATAATGTAAACATTCATACAATCTTTACGAAGAGATAATATTCATCAATAACCCAGACCATAGATTATAACATCTCATCCTTCTTTCTAACACACCAAAAAGCATTAAAATAGGAATGCAACTTTAACTCCACTTAGGGCCAATTTGGTAGTTTTGCATAAGTTACATAGCATTCACATCCATGTTGCCCTTCTCGGGACCTCACCGTGCATATTCTAACCTTCCTTCCTCAACGTTTGCGTTTCCGTTTTCAATAAGAAATTTTCAATTTAATCTTTTTTTAATATTAGTTGTTCCTATGTAATTCGATTCAACTAGGTTTCTTCACCAATATTGTAAACTTAACATCCTTGAGTTTCGTCGGAAATCTGAATTTTGATACGATTCAATTCAAGATTCATTCGAAAAAATTCTGCAAAATTTTTCTGAAAACCACGTACTTAAATTTTGTAACAATTTTGTAACAATTTTGTAACGCAAGTGTAATAACCCAAAAATAAATAAATAAATAAACAAATAAAATAATTATAAAAATAGTTAAAATAATAATAATAATAATTAATTAAATAAATAAATTAAAATTAACAATAAAACAGTAAATATCATAGGACAGTGAACTCCTTTAAATTTTGTCTAACAAGAAATGTCAGAATTTTACTATGGCCCATGTAAATTAGAAAAATAATTTTATAAAGTTCAAACTTGAAACTAATGTCATAAGCTCATATAGGTTGACTCAGAATTTTAAAGGACGGAATTGAACTTTCATTAAAGATATATTTGTGACAACGACTTAAACTAGCCAGATAAGTGACGTTACTATCGGCATGATTATATTTGATGTTGACACGTGCCCTGTGATTCTGCACGTATCATATATATTGATATGTGTGAATTATTTGTGGATCGATATGCTTCCTATATGTTATGTTATGTTATAATATGTGGTTTGTATGATAATAATTATGGTACGATGTGCTCAAGGATATGTTTGAGATAGGATACGAGAAGGATACACAAAACAAAATATAACGATAGGAGTAAGATACGTTCATGAAACATTAAGGTTAGGTTACATACCGGAGTGCTATGGATAGGAGAGATTGATGAAAAAATACGGTTAGGTTATGGGTACAAAGGGATAGGTTTGTGATAGATTGATAGAACGATAGCGTTACGGTACGTTCTTGTGACGATATGACTAAGGTACGTTACGTAATGATATGTCTGTGATAGGTATAAGAACGTTAAGGCTATGGTAAGTTAAAGAATGATATGACTATGAGGTGTTTACGTTATGACTTGTTTATGATATGATACATTGTATGCTAGATTATTGTGCTTAATTACGTAGTTATGTGAACTTGAATGTATGCTATGTATGCTTTTAGTCTGATGTGATGTGTAATGCATGTAACGATATGAAGTCCTTGAATGATTAGGACATGTTTGTACGGAATATGTAAATGTGAACAACATGAATTGTATGACATGAAACACGGTAAACTGTATGGAACCATAACCCCAATAGAAATGTGTATGAATTGTGAAATGAAAATGAGAATGACATGAAACCTGGAACGGGACAGGAAGTTATGGTCATGGTCATGAAAGATAAATGTAGAAATAGGAGACATAACAGTATAATCTGATATAATAAAAGTATAATTTGAGTATGCTTACACCATTAGCTTTTAATTTTAAAATGTAATACTATCTTTATTTCACGACTCAATCTTCAAGACTTCGAGTCTCTATTCGTGACTAAAAGTACAAGAAAAAAAAAGTAAATAAAATATAGGTAAAATGAAATGAAATATAAAGATATGATGAAACTTCAATCAAATTAAACTAAACAACACCATAAAAAAGAAACAATTCGAAATTTAATTACAAGACAATGTTGCTAAAGTTTATTACAAAGGAAAGGAAGAATAGGTTCAGGAAATAATTTGAAACCAATTATAAACACCCAAAATACATGGACGAACTGACGTCGTGGGACGACCCGCCCTTGAACGCGTTTCAATCGAATGCTTTCATCCTTCTCCGACTACCTACGAACAAATGAAAAAATAGAAAAATTGACGAGTATAAAAATAGTAAGTAAGCAACCTACTTTAAGGGTTTCATCACATCCTTAACCTACGTGTATCCACGAGTATTTTTCTGGGCGCTAGAAAATTTGGGCCTAATCTTTAAGGCTATCTAAGCGTTTGGGGAGGCCTCAAAATTTCAGAGTGGTTTTCTAATCCAACTCTTACCTTTTGGATGAGGTGGTTACTAAACTTTTCTGCACTTATACTATGCAACCTACTTTTACTAGGAAGTTTATGACCAGCATCCTACGCTAAGGTGCTGCTTAAAGAAAAAAAATCTAGTGGGTCGATATCATATCTACTAGTTTGAACATCATTATTGGAAGGTTAGCCGGTGACTTTGCAACTCGGCTCAAAAGTCATTCTAAATTTGGGGAGTGTGGTACCACATTCACCTATGTTGTCCTTTGCCCTCTCTAATGATTGGTTTACAGCACATAGGACTTGTTGAATAGACTTGTGGAAATTTTCACAAGGTGATGCCACCTAGTCGCTTCGACAGACTACCCTAACTGGCTTACGCCTAGCTCGACGATACTTCTCTCATGGACCTATCGTTTGGTAGGAAGCGCTATTTGATTTGACCTAGGTCGTTGATATTGTTGTCGTGGTACTCGAGTGCATTGGGTGACGGAGACTCCAATGACACTGTTCCCAACGATAGTGGCCTAGATTGCTACCTTAGTAATTCTTAACTGACATGGAGGTCTATTCGATTTGTAGGGCGTTTAAGCGACTTAAGACATAGACTCTCTACTCCAGGACAATCCATGCTAATTCCTTGAGTTTTCTTAGTATGGGAGCACTAGGGAAAAAATCCCTCGGTGCTTGGTATACTAGAGGCTCCTATACCTAGGTCATCATTTAACTTGTCTAGCTCTAGAGTCGTAATCTTCACTCAATGCAGGTAACTATGCTCATCAAAGAGAACACTCAAGCAATCACTTAGAACTATCCTACATTTCAATGCATGCTTGGTTAGGGAGATAGCCTTACCAATCACTTAAACTACAAAATACACCATCTAAACATTCATGCTAGCTCAACTGGTGAGATAACATCCATCAATCACCCAGAGCACAAATCACAATATGTCGTATTCCTTTCTAGCACAACAGAAAGCATCAAAATAACATACACAATAGAAATCTCGTCCGTGGGGAATTCTCCAAATTTTTGATAGCATACAAAGCATTGTCATCAATATTTGCTCTCCTAAAGTCTTAATCCGAATGACCTAAGTAAGGTATGCTCGCATTCAGCTTTTCCTGGCCACCCCTACAAGTATTACCTGAAAAAGTTAGAATGGCTACTGATTTCAACAATGCACATCTTGCCAAGCTTATTTTTCCGCTTGCTAGGAAATCTAAATTTTTCTCTATGAAAGTTTAAATAAAGTATTTCCGCATTCAATGTTTATGATATGTATACAGTAGCGACCAAATTAAGTAGAAAATTTCGGGTCGTAACACCATAAGGTTATAATAGAGGTAACACAGACCCCTTAAACAATGAGGGGCACAAAAGACCATTTTACCTATTTTAGGGTTGACTTTGACCACTTTTTCTCGAGTTGATGGGATTTGTGTAGGTATTTGTCTATTCTAATATTAAATTCTAGTTATCGATTGATCTAATAACAAAGACATTAGGAAGGACGTATCGTAACGAAGTATAAGAAATTGATAGATGTTTGATGTTGGACTCGGAGGGATGTATGCTTGAAAAAGATTTATTTCATTCCTGCACGACTATTTCTTTATAGATAGCCAAACACGATTTTTTGTAACTATCGCATGTTACAAAATACGAAGGGGGAGTTTCAACACTTCCTTTCGATAAGCTTAAAAGATTCCACGATCTTGATTCTTTTACTAAGAAACTGCTTTACATACACATAAGCCTCGTAATGGTGCACCCGACTCAGACAGTCTTTTGCCTTTAAATGAATACGAAACTTTATGTTGTCTTGACCCATCTCCATATACCAACCATCGTAAACGCCATCGTATTTGAGGCTATCTCCAGATTTAACGTTGAAGTCATCCAATGCAAACTTTGATACCTCTTGCACGAATGAAAACTGAAGATTACTGATTTTAATCCACTTCTCTACTTTGGGTGGATCCACAGGCCCAACGCAGTGTCCAGGAGACAATATGACGATGATAGATTCCAGCTTGAAAATTCGTTTCTCTTCGACAATAATAATTTCATAATTGAGACAACGTCCCAGAAAGTCTATCGCCTTAATATGCAAACGGAACTTTAGGCTGATTGGGCACAACTCAAAATACCAACCTTCATAAATGCTATCGAATTTCAAACAATCTCCAAATATAATTTTGAGCTGCTCCACTATAAACTTTATAACCACTTGAAAGCCAGGCTCCTTGAGATTAGGTATTTGAATCCACTTGGGTTCGACCACCACACCACCGCAAAACTTGAAAGATTCGAGAATCTTGATTCTCTTGGACCAAAAGTGCTCAACAAGCACAACGGCCTCATAGCTGCGTACGCGCCCCAACCAGTCTTTCGCCTTAAGATGAAAACGAAACTTTATGTTGTCTTGACCCAGATCCATAAACCAGCCGTCGTAGACTTCAACGTATTTTAGGCCTTCTCCACTCTTATTATTATGTTCATCCACGGCAAACTTTGCCAACTCTTGCACTAACGGCACCTGAACATTAGGAATTTTTATCCACTTCTTCTCTTGAGGTTCATGAGATACTATGAGAACGATAGAGTCCAGCTTCCATATTCTTACATGGTCACGTCTCTCTTCGATAATAACAACCTCAAATTTGAGAGAACGACCCAAAAAGTCTATCACCTTAACATGGAAGCGGTACTTTAGGCTGTTTGGGCACAACTCAAAATACCAACCTTCATAAATGATCTCAAATTTCAAACTATCTCCAAATTTAATTTTGATCTGTTCCAAAATAAACTTTATAACCACTTGAAAGCCGGGCTCCTTAAGACAAGGTATTTGAATCCACTTGGGTTCGACCACTACGGGACCGCAAAACTTGAAAGATTCGAGAATCTTGATTCTCTTGGACCAAAAGTGCTCAACAAGCACAACGGCCTCATAGCTGCGTATGCGCCCCAACCAGTCTTTCGCCTTAAGATGAAGACGAAACTTTATGTTGTCTTGACCCAGGTCCATAAACCAGCCGTCGTAGACTTCAACGTATTTTAGGCCTTCTCCACTCTTATTATTATGTTCATCCACGGCAAACTTTGCCAACTCTTGCACTAACGGCACCTGAACATTAGGAATTTTTATCCACTTCTTCTCTTGAGGTGCAGGAGCTACTATGAGAACGATAGAGTCCAGCTTCCATATTCTTACATGGTCACGTCTCTCTTCGATAATAACAACCTCAAATTTGAGAGAACGACCCAAAAAGTCTATCACCTTAACATGGAAACGGTACTTTAGGCTGTTTGGGCACAACTCAAAATACCAACCTTCATAAATGATCTCAAATTTCAAACTATCTCCGAACTTAATTTTGATATGTTCCAAAATAAACTTTATAACCACTTGCAAGCCAAGGTCCTTAACATCGGGTATTTGATTCCATCCCGGCACAACCTTTACTTGATCCAAAAGCTTAAAAGATTCGAAAATCTTGATTTTCTTCGACAAAAAATGCTTAACAAGAACAATAGCCTCGTAGTTGCGCAAACGTCCCAAGCAGTCTTTCGCCTTAACATGAAGGCGAAACTTTATGTTGTCTTGACCCATCTCTGCATACCAACCGTCGTAGATTTCAACGTATTTTAAGCCTTCTCCACTTTTATTGTACCAATCTATTGCAAACTTTGAAACTTCTAGCACAAATGGCACTCGAAGATCAGGAATTTTAATCCACTTCTCCACTTTGGGTGGATCGACCGGCCCAACATAGTGTCCACAATTCAAAATATACAAGAAAGATATCAACTTTCTGATTCTTTCAAGCTTAGGTTTCTCTTCGAACACAAGTGCCTCATACAGGAGAGAGCGTTGAAGAAAGTCTATCGCCCTAATATGAAGACGGTACTTTAGGTTGTTTTGACCCAGTTCACAAAACCAACCTTCGTGAATGCTTTCGTATTTAAGACTGTGTCCATGTTGAACGTTGAACTGTTCCACCGCAAGCTTTGCGACCTCTTGCACGCAGTGGCTACTGACATCGGGGATTTTAATCCACTTCTCCACACCGGGTACTTGGCCGCAAACCTTGACTGCAACACTCATGGCGTAGTGTGATATATAGTACAAGGAAACTTTGTGTTTCTTTGCTGTGGTTTTGTTTGGTTAGTAGCTGTGGGTATTTATAGAACTCATTTAATATGGAATCCAAGTTTAAAAGGATAAGATTGATGCTTTTAAGAACATCCACACACATCCCATTAATATTCTTTTTATTTACATTAATATTCTTCTTTTGGAATATGGTTCTTTGACTTAAACATTTTTATACTTAAAAGATTAATGTTCTTCATTGTTTATATCACTTAAAAGGTTCACACCCACTTCTTTTAGAATTAAATCCATAACGTCTGTGATATACTTCAATTTAACTATAAATTCCCCACAATTTTAGACACCGAGTTTATCTTCTTTTAATTGATATACTTAAATTTTAGTGTGATAAGAATATGGTTCGGTGTCCTTAAAAAAAAAGAATGTAATTTCTCTTTATTCGTTTACCCAAAATACATGTATATTTTTTTAAAAAAAAAAATTATATGTTTGATCTAATTTGAATGTTGTTTAAATTTATATAGACAAATATTTATTACATCAACTTGATATCTCTAAGTAGATGAATGGTCGTTACTAATTTTGAGTGAAAAAAACTTAACAGAACCTATCAATGAGATAGGAAAGACTACCGAATCTGCTTGAAACTAGCATAACTAAATAGACTCCATAGTGTACTGCCTCCTTCGCGCCGTCATCGTCAATTGGCACTCAAGTTCCATATACAAAAAAAGGAAGAGTAGAGCGAGTGAGAATATAAATATACGCAGTAAATAGCTTGTGTACACTCAAGTTTTCTCGTATCATATAATCTGAGTATGCTTACACCGTTGGCTTTTAATTTTAAAATGCAATACTATCTTTATTTCACTACTCAATCTTCAAGACTTCGAGTCTATGCCCGTGACTAAAAGTACAAGAAAAAAAAGTAAATAAAATATAGGTAAAATGAAATGAAATATAAAGATACGATAAAACTTCAATCAAATTAACCTAAACAACCATAAAAAAGAAACAATTCGAAATTTAATTACAAGACAATGTTGCTAAAGTTTATTACAAAGGAAAGGAAGAATAGGTTCAGTATATAATTTCACACCAAATATAAACACCCAAAATACATGGACGAACTGACGTCGTGGGACGACCTGCCCTTGAACGCGTTTCAATCGAATGCTCTCATCGTTCTCCGACTACCTACGAACAAATGAAAAAATAGGAAAATTGACGAGTATAACAATGGTAAGTAAGCAACCTACTTTTAGGGTCTCATCACATCCTTAACCTACGTGTATCCACGAGCATTTTTTCTGGGCGCTAGAAAATTTGGGCCTAATCTTTAAGGCTATGTAAGCATTTGGGAAGGCCTCAAAATTTCATAGTGGTTTTCTAGTCCAACTCTTACCTTTTGGATGAGGTGGTTACTAAACTTTTCTGCACTTACACTATGCAACCTACTGTTACTAGGAAGTTTATGACCAGCATCCTACGCTAAGGTGCTGCTTAAAGAAAAAAAATCTAGTGGGTCATCTACTAGTTTGAACATCGTTATTGGAAGGTTAGCTGGTGACTTTGCAATTGGGCTCTAAAGTCATTCTAAATTTGGGGAGTGTGGTGCCACATTCACCTATGTTGTCCTTTGCCCTCTCTGATGGTCGGTTTACAACACACAGGACTTGTTTAATAGACTTGTGGAAATTTCCACAAGGTGATGCCACCTAGTCGCTTCGACAGACTACCCTAACTGGCATACGCCTAGCTCGATGGTACTTCTCTCATGGACCTATCGTTTGGTAGGGGGCGCTATTTGATTTGACCTAGGTCGTTGATAATGCTGTCGTGGTACTCGAGTGCATTGGGTGACGGAGACTCCAATGACACTCTTCTCAGCGACAGTGGCCTAGATTGCTACCTTAGTAATTCTTAAGTGACATGGAGGTCTATTCGATTTGTAGGGCGTTTAGGCGACTTAAGACATAGACTCTCTACTCCAGGACAATCCATGCTAACTCCTTGAGTTTTCTTAGTATGGGAGCACTAGGGACAAAATCCCTCGGTGCTTGGTATACTAGAGGCTCCTATACCTAGGTCATCATTTAACTTGTCTAGCTCTAGAGTCGTAATCTTCACTCAATGCAGGTAACTATGCTCTACAAAGAGAACACTCAAGCAATCACTTAGAACTACCCTACATTTCAATGCATGCTTGGTTAGGGAGATAGCCTTATCAATCACTTAAAGTACAAAATACACTATCTAAACATTCATGCTAGCTCAACTGGTGAGATAACATCCATCAATCACCCAGTGACGCAATATCTACCACTCAAAAGTGTGAGTAGATATGAAAATATTATTACTCAACGAAAGAATACAGATTTAAGAATAAGAAAAAGAATTGGGATGGAAGGTAAAATCTTCATTGATATTCACAACCTTTAAATAGGATAATACTAAATAATATCTATGAGGAAAATATAAACTAACTAAATCTACTACTATTCAAATTCAACTGATTACTAATATCCAAGATATATTTCCTAACTAATATATTCTTTCAAAATTACAAATATCATATATTCCACAAATAATTCAAACTAAAATAAGTTGCACTAAATTCTGACAGTCTCCCTCCCTTAGTGCAAGCTTATTTCTCAATAACTTCGAGAGGCTTTATGAAAAACTTCAAATTTCACTTTGGCAAGTATCTTAGTAAATATGTCTGCAACTTGCTCATTAGTATGTATTTCCTGCAATTCAACATCCTGCATTAACACTTTCTCTCGAACAAAATAATCTACGAAGAATTTCTTACAGCCAGGCTTGCGTATGGACTTTTTAGGCACGCCACCACCTGAATAAGACACTGACACATCATTTTCACTGATTGCCTTCTTAATAAGTTCCACGTCATAGCGATTCAATCTCGTAATCTTCTGAAAAGATCTAATTTTGAGAGCATTTGACAGTCCGGTCTCAAAACAGTCTTCTCTCCAATGGTCTTAAACTTTAAGGCTTCCACAACTATAAAAGCTCCTTCACCATTTGAGTCCACGTAAAGTCCACCCAAAATATACAAAGCATCTACATGGCCAAGCTTCAAGTCGATTGCCTTCTGAAACACCTCAATTGCTCGCTCATCTTCCCCCATTGCATGCAAAGCGGAGGCTAAATCACAGTGAGCATCAGCATAATCTGGTTTCATGAATATGACCTCTTCCAAGTCCTTAACGGCAGGATCCAAATTACTAATATGACCCTCCAATGATTGAATCTGAGCTTTTGATTGCACCAATTCTAATGACAAAGAGTAATAATTCATCTCAACTTGTGCAGACTCAGCATACTCCATACTCCGGTGAATTACATCACTGGCAGACTGCAAAAGCTCTTGATCTTCTGATCCTTTTTTACCACTCAATATATTTTCAGGAGCTTTATATCCTTGGTCAAGGTCCAAGTCATACTCAAAAATGTCGTAGCCAAAAGATTTGTTATTAACAATATTCTTGCTTCCTGTCGCCCTCTCAAAATCTTTAGCCACACTAAACTTATCATCCTCCCCTTCTTCACACAAATTTGCCTTAACTACGAAATCCTCCTCCAACTCCTCAACATCGGAACCAAATCGTGATAAATCATCATCATCAAGCAGTGCAGCTATTTCTGGGTCAGGCTGGGGCGGAGCATCAGTAGTCGAATCCTGCGAATTGGTAGTTTGATCCAAATTCTCCAAGATGAGGAAATCGTCAGCCTCAGAGGGGAGGTAAAGACCGTCAAGATCGTCAAACGTTAGCTCGACAACTTCATTTTCGCCGAATCCCAAATCCAAGGCCGTGGAATAAACAGAAGGGTCATCAAGGGCAACAGAATTGGCATCGGAGAAAAAGAGAGAGTCCAGATGCGAAATTTGGAGAGAATCAAACTCAGAAGCGTAAGTAGTGGAATTAGAATTTTGATCACCTGTAGAGACATCATCTTGATATACGGCTGAAGTCACGTTTGTTGGCTGGTCAAGAACCTCAGTGGTTAAGCAATATTCCCAAATTGGATCTGAAGAACTTTTACTTTCATGTACCGCATTTGCTTATGATTCCTGCATCTTGACTCGAAAATTTGGTTTAATATGGCCTGGCTTTCCGCAACGATGACACACCACTTTCACCTCACAATTCTCGTTTAAAATGGCCTGGTTTTCCACACCTGTAACAAGCTTTAAATGGCTTCTTTGATGACTCCTCACTCCTGAATTGATTCCCATTGCTTGATGAAGGCTTTGAGTAAAAATTCTGTCTCCTTTGATCTTTGGCATACAACACACCTTCTAACTTTGGGGAAAATTCGTTGCTGCTAGTCATTTGCTTAATCAATGCTTCCTGATTGGAAAGAAGATTCTCCAGTTCAATTACTGTAGGCTTGTTTGCCCACCCTTGTGTTGAGGAAACAAAGGGCATAAACTCTTTCCGTAATCCACGAATAAGATAACGCCGTAATCGAGCCTCACTCACTGGCTCCTCAGCATCTAATTCTGAAATTTCATAACACAGATTTTTCACTTTCAAAAAATATTCTTCAACCGAAAAATTACCTTGAGTTACCATAGCTAGNACAGGAGAGAGCGTTGAAGAAAGTCTATCGCCCTAATATGAAGACGGTACTTTAGGTTGTTTTGACCCAGTTCACAAAACCAACCTTCGTGAATGCTTTCGTATTTAAGACTGTGTCCATGTTGAACGTTGAACTGTTCCACCGCAAGCTTTGCGACCTCTTGCACGCAGTGGCTACTGACATCGGGGATTTTAATCCACTTCTCCACACCGGGTACTTGGCCGCAAACCTTGACTGCAACACTCATGGCGTAGTGTGATATATAGTACAAGGAAACTTTGTGTTTCTTTGCTGTGGTTTTGTTTGGTTAGTAGCTGTGGGTATTTATAGAACTCATTTAATATGGAATCCAAGTTTAAAAGGATAAGATTGATGCTTTTAAGAACATCCACACACATCCCATTAATATTCTTTTTATTTACATTAATATTCTTCTTTTGGAATATGG